CACAGGTCATGAAAGAGTAGGGTCTTGAGAATACTAGGACGCCGAGGGAGGCCTTTTACGGCAACTAGATTGGACACAGTGGCCGCCCAAAGTCAGCAAAATCAGCAAATTTCCGAGATTTGACCACTTTTTGACCAACTTTGGTCCCAAAATCGTTGCGGTCAAAGGCAAAATCGTTGTGGTCAACGTCTTCCCGACACAGGGCATGAAAGAGTAGGGTCTTAAGAATACTAGGACGTCGAGGGAGGCCTTTTACGGCAACTAGATTGGACACAGTGGCCGCTCAAATTCAGCAAAAACGGCTACTTTCGGACATTCAATCACTTTTTGACCAACTTTGTGACGTTACTGGTCACAAATCCGAAGGCCCCGGCAGATTTTTCTGCCTGTCTGCCCTGGCCAGTCCGAGCCTGGTTCTGGAGTCCGTGGAAAAGGCCACGCAAAAGCACTGTAAATAAAAATTTCTCATAATTTTGGTCCTAAAAAAATTGGACTTTTTTTTTAGATTTTTAAATTTTATCTGTTAAAAATGGAGCCAGTACAGTTTGAAACGACTGAAAATTTGCGCCAGTCCTTGGTTGGTGCTTCTTTGCGTGCGCCGCGGCGGGCGAACCTCCATCCCTCGCGCTGGCCTTGGAAGGCCTGGCTGGGCCTGGCTGGGCCTGGCTTGCTCGGCGGCCCCCGAGAACGACAACGACGGTACGAAGCCACGCACTCGTACACGTCCCCTACTTACCAACAGTATTTTTCCTTTCCTTATTCGCCTTATCACGTGCGACCCTGGGCTGCCTGGGCTGCCCGGGCTGCCTGGGCCTGGCTGGCCTACATTCGGGGGAGATTCGGCAACATTGCGCGCGGCTCACCCCACCCCCACCCCCGGGGCACGAGGGGGAGAACGAAAGGACTTTCACCGAAAAATTGTCACGGAAAAGACGCATCAACACGAAAAGGGCGAGTCGTTTTCCTCCAGCTTGTTGACTCCGATGCTCCTCTCGGCCTCACCGGCGCGCAATGCCGCGCTCGCCACGCTCGCCGCGAGGGCACTTTTCATGCCTCCCTCCCCTCCCTCCCCGCGGGGCGTCCTCGCCGGGGGGTCCGTCGCGGCCACAACGACTTGATTAACCTCCACGCCGCCTCACGCGCCGCGCGCACTGCCGAGCGATTCAGTCTCTCTCTCTCTCTCTCTCTCTCTCTCTCTCTCTCTCTCTCTCTCTCTCTCTCTCCGTCGCACTCATGGAGATCTCCATGCAGGTGTGTGTGTGTGTGTGTGTTGGGCGGGCCGGCGCGGGCCGGCGTCAGTTGTTGGTGGTGTCTCGCGGAGTTGCTAAGCGTTCCACCCCCGGCCATTGTAGTCGGCAACAATACAGCCGGAACTATCTGGAACAAAGAAGCCCGGAATCGTCCTTGTCGGCGACGCGACGCGAAGCGCGATGCGCCGTCAAAGGATAGTTTGGAAAGCTATTTGCTATGGCGGAATTTCCTCTGTATCCGAAGGCCGAAACGCATCCCCCTCTCTCTGCGCGGAGAGGACGCCGCGCGGCGGGCCTGCCCGGCAGACAGGCGTGCGTGGCGGGCAAGCCTGCCCGCACGGCGGCCAGCCCGGCAGGCAGCCAGCCCGGCCAAGCCGACCGCACTAATAATGACATTGCTGCCAACCCTTATCGCCCCGCATTCCAGAATGCAGCCCTGGCGGGGCTGGCGGGGCTGGCAGCAGATTTCTCTGGCCGTTGTCGCCGGCTCTCGGCGCTGGCGCGCTGGCGCTCTCGAAATGTTTATGGCTCGGGGCGCACGGGCTGCTTGGCTGCTTGCGCGTGGCATTGTGCACCGAGCTGGCTGGCTGGCTGCCTGCCTGCCTGTCCGCCTGCCTGCCTTGCAAATGAAGCAGGCAGGCAGGCATTCCACGGCGCGGGGCCACTCAGCCACTCCCAGGCAGGCTAATAGGCGGTGGGGCGATTTCTCGTGGAGGTCCCCGATAATGCTGGCGATGCCTGGCAGGGTGAGAGCAGGGGAGAGCGAACCGAGGGGAACCTGGAAGAACCCGGAGGGTGCCCTGCCTGTCTCAGCAGCCTCAGCACTCGCGGGCAAAGCTGGTCTTCGCTGCTTCCTCCTTCGCCATATCAGCCTCGCCTCGGCCCCGTGGGCTGGCCAGTGGGTCTCGCGTGTAGTACTCCGTGCACTTCCCTGATGCTGCTTGCTCTGCTGGCGCTCCGCCCTGCTCCGCCCCCACCCCCACCCGCCTCCTCGGCTCAGCTGTCCTAACAATCCTGCCGCAGGCCCGGCCTCGGCTCCAGCGCGCTCCAGCCTTCTCCAGGCCGCATCCCCGAGTGACGTCACGCCTCGCAGTGGGTCAAGTCGGGGTGGGGTGGGGGTGGTGCTGTTGAGTTTGGAGCGGGGCGTGGCCGTCGTGGCCGTCGTGGCCGTCGTGGTGGCCGCCGTGGCCGGGACCAGCACTGCGGTGCGCGCCCGGGAGACAGATGTCACTTCTTCACCTTAAAGATTGCCCTCACCGTTTTTTCGTTTTCTTTATTTTTTTTTTGCTCGCGTCCAACTTGCGTTATTTGTTTTGACACAAGCGCCCCCGTTCCCCGCTCCTTGTCGCGCGCGTTCGGTCGGTTGGCGCGCGCGGCCGCCGGTCTAAACTCGAGGGAAAGTGCTCCCCGTTAAGTCCGTTAACTCCGTTACGCTGCTAACGAATTTAACGACTGTGGCCATATAATGAGAGCCATGATCCGAGGTCCCGGAGGGTGCGTAAATTTAACGCGCTCCTTGCGAGTGAGCGGGTTCGGGCATTCCAGCCAGCGCCGCCCTGGACAGCCTGGAGCGGCCTGGAGTCCTGCGGGCTCCATAAAAGCACCCGGCGAGCCCCGCCAGCCTGCTGAGCTCAAGCCCGGAGTTCCATCCGGACTGCGACACTGGGAACCCCGAACCCCGGTGGCGTTATGTTTCAAGAAATTGTCAAAGTTGGGGAATGGCCCTGCACACTGTCACACCCCGCAACACCGGCGACGCCTCCAGACGAACGCGCGGAAAAAAAAGTTTATTGCGATTCGGGGGTTCGCGCGCTGCCTCGCCGCCTGCTGGAATGAAGGCTGTTCCAGCTTCCTGCGCCATCTTGCTGCGCGCTCGCCGGGGATGGCTGGAGTCGTAATTCGGTCGTTAGTTGCCACTGGAATTCGTTGTGCTGGCCGTGCCCTGCCCTGCCCTGCCCTGCCCTGCCCTGCCGTTGAGCGTCCGCTGGCTGCTGGACTGGTCGTATAACGGAACACGCCGCACCTATGACGCTTTGGGCGTTACAGCGTTAGCACCGCAGCACATGACGGGGCGTGTTCGCCGAGTAGCACTCCACCCCCGGCACCCCGCTCACGCAACCCTGCACCCCTCCAGCGCCACCGCCAGCACCACCTCCAGCACCACCTCCAGTCCGCCGAGCCGACGGAGTTCGAGTCGCTAATTTGTCGCGCAAATGTTGCAGCAAAGTAGCGCTGGGGCCGGGAGGAGGCTGGAGCCGGGAAGGAGGCTAGGGGCGGGCCGAGGGCGGGATGGGGGTGGGGAGGGCCGAAGAGACTCGACCACGGCGGCATTACCAAACTTCGGCTCTTAAGCCTATTACTGTTATTTTTCCGGAATTAGAAGCTCAGAAGTTAATTCCCCGGCTGCTGGCTGCCGGGCCGCGGCCGGCCGGGGTGGGGTGGGTGGGTGGACAGAAGGGGGTTGAGTGGCCACCCCTCCCTAGAAGCGCCTTGAGCTCGTCAGGGAGGTACCCGAGTGTGGCCCGGGCGGCTTCCAGGCGCTCCCGGTTGCAGGGCGTGAGGTGAGGCGAGGTGGGTCTGGAGGGTCGGCCGAACCCAGTCGGGCTCTCTCTTTTTTCTCGATTTGTCTCTCTCTCTCTCTCTCTCTCTCTCTCTAGCCTCTCGGGCTGAGCGGTCATGGCGGACCGGTGCGGCCGACTCCTTGGTGCAGTGAGTCTGCATCTTATTGCGCTGGTACCGCTGCTGGCCAGGCCGCCGCCCCTCTGGACCCCGCCGCGCCCCGCCGCGCCCCGCCGCGCCCCGCCCCGCCCCGCCGCGCCCCGCCGCGCCCGCCACCGCCCCTCCGGCCCGCCGCCCCGCCGCGCTCGCGATCGATAGTACGGCATGGGCTGCGCCCCGCCCCGCCCGCCCGCCCCGCCCCGCCCCGCCCGCCCTCGCGCCCCTCAATCTGTCTTTAACCCATCCGGCGGCGTGCGCGGCGCGGGCAGGTCGCCGCGGGCGTGCCGCGCCCTGCCCAGAACAGGTGGGCCAGGTGTCTCTCTCTCTCTCTTTCTCTCTCACGCACTCATGGGCGTCGCGCGTGGGCGCGAGAGAGATAGGCTGATGTCGGGTGGAATGCAACCACGGTTAAGCCATTCCTTCGTCGAGAGACTCGACTGCGACAAGCCTTGGCAGTCGCGGCGATCCCAGAGAGGTAGAGTGGAGGGCACCCTGGACGCGATTCCTAACTTCTACCTGTCCTTACGGATCAACGCGTCCACAGATGTTAAGACCGTTCACGTTCGCTATTTAATCTGCCACCCTGTGGACGTAGGACAATTTGTGTTCGTCGGGTGAAGCAGAAAAACGAAAATCAACCCATGGCGATTTCGCGATCAAGTTGCTTAACACTGCAGTGTGTTAGCAAGTTTCAAACGATGGCAATCGTCGAACTGGTCACGTCCACTGCTACACTGCTACCCGCGGACAGGAGCAAAATGGTGCGAAACGAAAACCACGAGCCGAGTCTAGAGTCGCTGACAGCGCGGGGGGGGGGTGTCAGCGGCCCGATGAGGCAGCCCGCCGTCGAGGCCCGACTGCGAGTGTGTGTGTGCGTGTGGTGTGTGAATGAATGAATCTGTGTGTGTGTTTGTGTGTGTGCTGAGGGGAAGAGCTTCCTGAAATTGAAAACGTGTTTTATGAATGTGCTGCTGCGCGGCAGGGCGGCAGGGCGCCGCGGCCCGGGCTAATTTCCGCCTCTCCTTGTTCCAGGAGAGGATGGCGGGGAGAGGAGGCGGCCCGCCGCGCGCGCTGTGACCGCTGTGACGAGACCGCCAAGACCGCCGAGACGCACCGCCAACGCCACGGCACTGTTTTTGCCGGCACTGCGCGACCCCCACCCACACCCCCACCCCCAACCCCCAGCCCCAAGCCAAGCCAACAGAACCGGATGCAGGGCGAGGATGACGGCGCACGACCCAGCGGACCCAGCGGACCCAGCCGACCCGATGGCCCGGTGATCAGCGGCAGCCTTGCGGTGCCGTCCTCGCCGCCCTCGCCGTCCTCGCGGCACCAGGATCCCCAGGAGCATCTCGTGACCCAGAGCGCCCCCTCCCCCTCCCCCGCCCCCATCCCTGGCGGGCCCTAGCGACGGAGCAGTCATGTGCCAGCAGGGCTCTGCCCCTGCCGGCCCCTCCCCTCCCCGCGCCGCCCCCCTCTCCCGCGCCGCCCTGCCCGCCCCCTGCGGACCCTGCGGCCCAGGCCCCGCCCCCCTTGGGGCCCAGCAGGCCCGGCAGGCCGCCCCCCTTGGGGTTCAGCAGGCCCCGGAGCCGCCCCTGCCGCTGCTAGACTCGGGCTGCTCTGCGCGCCGCGGCAGCCACTGCAGCCTCGGCTCCAGGATAGCGTGGTGAGTCACCTCATGTATTCTCCAGCACCGCTACGCGACGCGCCGCGGCGCCTCGACCTCCGCGCCACACACTGAGCGAAGCGACACTTGCCGGCTGGGGAGCGGGATTTGGCCGTCAGCCCCCCAAAGAAGTACGACTTTTAGGCGGACTCCTTCGTGACGGACGCGCAGGCTGAACTAGAAAGCCTCGACGTCATCGTGCCTCCCCTTCCCACTCTTTCGACCCCGGGCCCGGGATTTAGTCGCCCCGGCGTCGCGTCGCCCAAATTACGCTCTCCCAGACCAGTACGTGTCATATCGCCGTTTTGGCGTCGCAGCATAGGAAGTCGTCTGCCTGCCTGCCTGCCTGCCTGCCTGCCTGCCTGCCTGCCTGCCTGCCTGCCTGCCTGCCTGCCTGCCTGCCTGCCTGCCTGCCTGCCTGCCTGCCTGCCTGCCTGCCTGCTGGCTGGAAAACCGCACGCCCGTTTCTTTTGATAGGCCGCATTAAGGGGCGGCAGCCAGGCCGCCGGGCCGCGCACAAAAAGAGAAACCCTCCTTATTTTTCCGGCCAGACCAAAGAGTCGCTGTGAAATGGCGACAGCCGCAGTGGGTACGTGCCCTGCCCTCGGCCCGACCCCTACCCCGACCCCCAGGGCTGCAGGCCGACCCCGCGACCCTTAGCCGACCCTTTGCAGCCGGGGAAATGGCGACTGTTACACCGCCACGCCACGCGCCGGCCTCCTCTGGGCGAGCGGGCGTGCGTCGCGCGCGTTCTTGTTCGTCCTCATTAGTGGCCAGGCAAACACGGACACGGCCTCGTCCAGGGCCGGCCCGCCCAGAGATATGAGATTCGGCCACGATTTATGCCCCAGCCTTGGTCCGGAACGGTGATCAATTCTCTGTTTGGGGCATTCCCGTGTCGTGGCGTGGCGTGGCGTGGCGTGCCGTCGGCCGAAACGGCGCAACGACGGTTGACGGCGCGGTGATTTTGGTCTCGGCCTCGCCGCAGACCTTTCCCCTTTTTCGGCCCCTCGCCTCGCGGCGTATATTTCAGGCCTATTGGCAGCTTGGCAGCCAGGCGAGGCTGGCGGGGGGCGCGGGCCGGGGGAAGTGCTCCTGTATTATTTGCCGGTGGCATTGACTGAAGGGCCACGGCCTCGGCCACGGCCTCGGCCCCTGCATTGTCTCGGCAAGGTTGCACTATGGTTTGCAATCGCCCTATTCACTTATGCGGGCGGCTGGGCCGAAGGGCCGCATGCCGCCACGTAAGGGCCCCGCCCCGCCCCGCCGTGCCCCCTCACGATGTACATGTCCGAGCGGGCTAAACTCGGGCCATAAATTGTCCTCCTCGGCGCCGGAAAGCGCCGCTAGATCATTCCAAATTAACAGTTCGCGTGCATTGCGCCCTGCACTGCACTGGCCTGCACTGGCCTGTATTTGTGCCTCGTTGTTACGAAATGTATGCACGGTGTGTATACACAGCACGGCCGGCAGGGGCGGCGGGGGCGGCGGGGGCCCTGGCTTGGGCCTGGGGCAGCCCGGGGCAGCGAGTCGTTTGCCGGTGCACACCCGCACGCACGGCGCTGGACGGAGACGAGCACTCGCCCCCTAGTTGTCTCTCTCGCGCCGGATACAGATCGCACAGATCGCCGTACGGAGTGTCGCCGAGAGCATCCGGGCGACCAGGGCTCCCAGCTCCAGCGACTCGAGAGGTGTTCCATCCGATACGGGGGACGCTTTTTCGATTACCTGCCTCAGCAGGCTGACTCCGAGAGGGAGGTCTCTTTCTCGCTCGCACGCCTGGGGCGTCCCGCGCGGGAGAGAGAGAGAGACCACGGCGACACCGTCGAGAAGGAGACACGGCTCCGGCTTCGCGATAGGCGGCGGGACGCCCGTCCGCGTTGACTGGTCAATCAGCAGGCTGTCGGGGCGCCTCTGTCGCCCTGTCTCCCTCGCGCCCAAGGGGCGTTGGGAAGGGCGCGAGAGAGACGCAGGCACTGTTTGGACTCGGCCTGCTGGCGGCTGCCTGGCAGGGGCTTCGGGTCCCCGCTGCAGCACGGCCAAGCACGGCCCAGGCCGTGGCCCAGGCAGTGGCCCAGGCAGTGCAATGTGTTCGACTGTCTATCTGTTGCGCGGCCCCGCGGCCCCGCGGCCCCGCGGCATCGCGACGGACAGGCATAGCGTATCGACCTCTCGGCTGCCTCCGGCGTGCCTAGCTTGGCCTTGGCGAGGAGCAGCCCTCGCCGCCCTCGCCGCCATCACCATCTGCATGATGGATGGAGGGGTCGCGGGCCTCGCGGGCCGGCTCGCCAAAACACGGCCGAAACGCGCCTCGCTCGCCGCACCGCCGTACCTGTTGGCCAAACTAGCCTCGCCCCGCCGCGGCCCGGCCGGTGCGTGGCGCGCAGCGCGCAGCCATTCAGTCAGTCCGTGATTGACAGGCGGGAAGATACCCCGCGCGACGCCTTGGCCTGCGAGGGGTATCGACGAGTCGCGTCGGCCGGCCGGCGATAAGCACTGTTCCGTGTCGCACCGCGCCCTGCCGCCGGCTTGCCGGACCCACTGCCGCGACGAATGGGTGGCCTGCCCGCGGGCGCCGCTCCGGAGGTACACGTCGAACGGAGTGGAACGGAGTGCTGGCGGTGGGAACCGCGGCGACGGGGGCCTTGGGCTCGCGGCGGTGGCGTAGCAGGCGTAGCAGCAGGTGGGCGTCGAAGCGTCGACGAGCTGGCGCCTTATCATCACAACGCACCGTTTAGATTCGATTCGGCTGGATATTCTGCCGTGGCACGCAGAGCGGCGCAGAGCCTTTGAGGCGATGGGGAGGGGGCTTGCGCCAGGTTTGGGCCAGGCTGGGGCCTAGCCCCGCCGCGCCGACCCCAGCCAGCCCTGCCCGGCCCATCAGGGCGTCCAGCTCGAACAGGTTCTAGCCCGGACCTGGCGCGGTGAGCCGCTGCACGGGGGCCGTCCGTAATGTGGGACGAAAGTGGGCTTCGCTCGGCTTCGCTTCGAGCACGGGCTGCGTCGCCGAGTGCGACAACGCGACGCAGTGAGCCCGCTGCAGGTCACGGGACGGAAACAATTAGAGAATGCGTACAGTAGTCGTCGGGTGAGGTGTCGGCCGGGTTGGTCAGCCTGCGTCTGAAGCGTCCTGATGTCTCTCTTGCTCTGCTTCTCGCTCTCTGTTGCTTTCGGTGGGAATGTGGTGGGCGACGAGGGTTTCTTTCGGCGGCAGGTTTGAAACGGACCGGCCGGCGGCTGCCAGTTTGCAGCATTGTTTGACGGGCGGCAAGCAGCAAGCACGGCCGATGATGAATCACTGTTGCCAACTTGGCGGCGCCTCGGCAGCCCCGCCGCCCCGGCCCTTTCTACCCTTTCTCTGGACGCAAAGCGGCTGACGTCGGAAATAAAAAGGGCGCGCTTAATTAATTAAGGGAGTGACAAAAGCCCTGGCGAAATAACAAAGGGGCGGCGTGACGTCACGCGGACGCGATAGCGTCACTGAGCGGAGCGCGGTGCGCGGCCGCCACGCCTCGCCAAGGCCGGAGGGACAGCCGCAGTCCTACGCCACCGCACTGTAGGCCCATTCCGAGAGGCGTTTCCGTCGCTCTGTCTCTCTCGCACTCTAGGGGCGTGCCGTGTAGGTGCGAGAGAGACAGAGCGACGGAAGCGACTCTCGGAATCAGTCTGCTGGGGACATTCGTCAACAATATTTATTTTACGGTGCGGTGGCGGCGGGCGTGAGGCGAAGCAGACGACGCCTGCCGTCCGCCGCACCGGCCACCACCGTCCGAGCAGGCTTCCCGATCAGCTGCTTGCCCCCGCCCCGCCTTGCCCCGCCCCCTCCCTGCCCAGCGGGCGGCACGGGCCGAGCGAGCCGAGCCAGCCGCGCGCCCGAGCCGAGCCGAGCCTGCAGCCTTGCCCGGCCCGGCCCGGCTCTTCTGCTGCCGGCGGGGAAGTGTGTTTGGCGCGCCGCTTGCCGCTTGCCTGTGCCTGCGGCAGTCACCCGCCAGCCAGCCGCAGTCCCAGTGTGGTGGTGCGTGCGAGCCGCGCCGCGTCACGGATCGTCACGGACGCGTCACACACACGCCGCATCGCGCTCCGTGTGTCACGGCCGCGTGTCAGCACGGTGTCAGCAGTGCCAGCACGTGCGGACGCGAGCGACGGTGATTCCGAGTGAGTGTGCACTCCGCACTCGACAGTGCAGGCGGCAGGCGGCCGAGTCACCGAGTTAGCGAGGCTGTGCCGGCTGGCCGGGGCCCGAATGGTCCCGAAGTGGAGCTCGTCTCGTTCGCCGGTCGACTCGAAGACGACGCGTCTCGCTGCCGGAACCGGAACCCAACCGCCGGGCCCCGCACACTGGATCACTTTGGACGCGCCCTGCATTGCCCTGCATTGCCACGGCGATGGCGATCCACTGGGCCATCTTGGCGGCGCACAGTGTGAAGGGTTACGACGTCCGCCGGAGGTCGGAGTGGCTGGCATGCGCGCCGCCGGAGCCGAAGCCTGGCAAGACCGATTCGTTTTCGTCGCTGTCTCTCTCGCACTCACGGCGCGACCCCTCCAGGTGCGAGAGAGACAGCGACTCTCCTCGGCAGGAGCGAGCGTCTCGGCTCGCCCGGCCCGGCCTTGTCATTTCCAAGTGCTCTTCGCTCTCCGCGGCGGTGCCGGCGGCGCTGGCACCGTGTCAAGCCCAGGGCAACGCCCCCTCCCAGTGTAGTGTGCCACAGTGTGCCTGCACTGCCCGCGGCCCGGACGGCAGCGCGTTCGTCGTGCTGTCTCTCTCGCACTCGCGAGTGTGACGAAGACAG